AGCCGACGGCACATATGGGCACCTGGCCCCACTCCTTCCGCGGCCTCGGGCTGCCCGGACCACAGACCCACAGACACCCCAATGTGCTCAAAAAACCACACGGGCACGGCCAGCCGAAGCGTACCAATCCCACCCGCTTGTGGTGCCTCGAGCTCCAGAATTGCTGATACCCCTGATCGACGAGCAATATCCCGGTTTCTTAAAAGCCGCGATGAACTTAATCCGATGCGTAAACTTTTTGTCACTGGCCCTAACGTAAGTACCTCCTGACTAGAAGTGGGCGACGGCGCATGCAGCATGAAGATGAAGCAGTGTGCTTGATTCGATGAACATCGCTGGCAGCCAGCATGCAAGCTGGGAGAAGAAGGGAGGATGGCGCTGGAGAATTGGGTGACGAGCATCGTGGCGGGTAGACTTTTGGAGTTCCGGTCTTTGATGGCAGGGAAGTAAAGGGGGGATCATGTGCGCCCTGGGCGATCTGCGGTCGTGTAGCGCGTGCTTGCGCGTCCACGATGCGCCGACCAGCGATCTCTGTGGTCATCCCCTTCAATGCGCCAAATGCGACAATGTACTTCGCGCCACTTCATCCCGACGCTGGCAAAAGCGATGGAGTAGGCCGCGTTGGGATCGAGGTCCGAATATTTCTGCATCATTACAAGAACGAGCGCCATTACCGTGTAAACGATAATAATCGCGGACATTGATCCGATGAGGCCTAACGGAATGTCCTTCGCCGGATTCTTGGTCTCCTCCGCCAATGTGGCGACCATGTCGAACCCGGTGTACGCCCAGTACACGACGGCGGCGGCCTGGAACACGCCCTTGGCGCCGAACAGGGGCGCAAACGGGCTGCCTAGATTGGCCGTCTTCGAGTGGGCAGACCCCGCGCGATGACAAAGGCGATGAGGCGACGCGAACGACCGACGCTAATCCAATCAGGCGTCGAGTTCCGTCCTCGTGCCGAGGGCGCAATCGAGGAGAGCAGTGGTGATACGCACGCACGGCGATCGGCGGTCGGAGGAGGTTGCTAGCCTCGGCGAGGCCGCGGCGCGCGGATGCGGACCGATCGGGCGTGAGCTTGATGAGATGAGAAGTACGAGGTCCACGAGCGGCTCGAGGCCCGGCGCGAGACCGGAAGGCTTCGAGGAGGATGGTTGGCGCGCGTTGGCGACAAGTCGCCGAAGCTCGACGCGGAGGTACGAGCAACGAGCGCCGCGGAGGGAATCTCGACGGGCGATCGCGTAGCAGGGTAAAAAATGACGCGAGAAGAGAGCGGGAGCAGGCCGGAGAGCGACGTAGGAGACGACGATGGCGGACCCCCGCGCGAAGCGGGGCCAGGTTGGCCAAAGAACGAAATAAACAAACAGAGAAAGAGAGACAACAAAAGAAGAACCGACAAAGATATACAAGTTGAGACAAACGGGCATCACGTGCCTCATGACTCGACAGGAGAGAGACAGGACAGAGAAGCTACAGACAGAGAAGCGGTGGGAGGAGCTGGTGGAAGGACGCGGGAGTAAAGCAGAGAGAGAGCGGAAGAGACGGCGAGGTTTGAGAAGGAGGGTTCGGGAAGAAAATTTATATGCGAAGCGGCCCAGTAGCTCCGGCGATCTTGGTGTTCGGTGCTCGGCGCCGCCATTATTGTTGGGATTGTTTTTTGTTTTTGTTTTTTCTATTTGTTCCTTTTTTTTATTATTGTTGTTTTGGTTTTATAACTGAGGCGCTGGGATAGAATTTTGTAATTCTCCTTGTTACCCAAATCTTGACTCTATTTATTTTTAGGACCATTTATTTCCAAAATCACTACTAACCCGAAATGCTTCACTAATTATTGAGGACTCCAGTATTTATTTTTAACTCAGTGTGTAGTGTAGTAGTTTGGATTTGAAATATAATATCGCAATATGCGACGTATGACAACTTAAAGGAAAATGTAATAACTTAGAGCTTAATTTAATTGCCAAATTTTCAAAATAGGAGGCACATCTGAAACTAACTTTAAAAGTTTAAAGTAGAGAGTGACAAAAGTAATTTTTGTAATTTGTTTCTTAAAAGTAGTTTAAATAGTATTTCTTTTTCTCTTCACTCATGTTTTTTTGGATTTTAAAAGTATAAAAAGAGAGATAAACTGATATGTGTGTTCAATTCACACATGTTCCATCTTCATGCTAGTCTTTAGGAGATAAATAACTTTATGAAATAATGATGTACATGATGCACATCAAAATTTAAGAAAACATTAAGAGTAAAAGTTCTAAGGAAAAAAATTTATGTTCAGAAAAATCATCTACTTCTTTTACTTTAACTTTTTACATACATATAAGACATACCTAAGAGCAACGTAAGGGTGACGTGTAGCAACTTATATAATAATACGGGACTAAACTTATATAAAATAAGGGACTTACAGAAAAATAATACAGTATACTTAATCTCTAAAACAAAAGCGGTTTAAATATGATTTAGTACACGATTATTTGGGTCTTAAGAGTTAATTTGAAAGGAGGGCTTGAAAAATGGCATAATTATTTGGGTTTATAGATAAAAACCATATAGAATCAGATGAGATGTGTGCCAGAAGGATTCTAGTTGTACGCATGTACTCTGAATAAATAACTATTTCTGGATTTGAGTTGGTTTGGGTTTGCGTGTACCTGGACGCAGATGAGGTTAGTTTGGGTTTTATTGGATCGAGCGGGATTGCAGGGGATCCGGGTCCGAGATTTGCTATGCCGATGGATTTAAGAGGGCTGTGGATTTTGGGGGTATTTGTTTCAAATCCCAAAATTTATAGATATGAATTTCACCATAGAATTTAAAATCCATAAATTTTTTTTTGGGTTTTGGAATCTCTAAAATTTTGTTTGTTTCATCAATATTTTAGGATTTGGAATACTATAATTTGTAATATTTTGTTTGTTTCATCAATATTTAGGGATTTGGAATACTATAACTTGTAATATTTTGTTTGTTTCATTAATATTTTGGGATTTGAAATACAATAACTTGTAATATTTTGTTTGTTTCATTAATATTTTGGGATTTGGAATACTGTAATTTATAATTTATACGAATAATTTATTTTATGATATTTATTATATATTATTATGCAATATCACGTACTATATTATATAATAGTACAAAATATATATTATAATATTGTATAATATTTTAATAACATATATTATTATATAATATATTATATTAATTATAATAGATATTTTTATCCATTATATTATAGTGTATTATATTAAACCAATATAATAATTTGGGGATTCAATATCCCAAAATTGGTTTTGAAACGAACATTGTTTATGGAATTCTAAAACCCAAAAAACTTGTAATCCATCTTATATCCTAAAAAAAAATTGAAACAAAATGGAGGATTTCACAAATCCTACAGATATATTATTTTTTTATAATTTAGGGATTCAATATCCTAAAATTAATTTTGAAACAAACAAAGTTTATGGAATCCCAAAACTAAAAAAAAAGCACTTTTTATATTCTAAAACTTGAAATTCACCCTATATCCAAAAAAAAATTGAAACAAACACGCCCTAAGTGCATTAGGACGATATTTTTGGGAGGGTTTGAACTTTTTGAGGAAAGAAATTTCAGAGTGAGAAATTAATTGCGGACAGTTATTAACGTTTTTTTTTCTGACCCAAGATAAAATATTTACCTATATGACACATAGATGCTTTCGAAAGCTTTCCTAGTAAAGCTTTTGAAAACTTTATTGGTAAACCGTTTGACATATGACAGGTTGGACTTGAGAACGTGTGTTAATTTTGAATTTGAATCCTCTTCGCTGTAAAAAAAAAGTATTGGAGCCACTATTACTTTTAATCTTAATAAAATATTAAATTAATATATTTATACGAATGTTTTTACCATTTTGATATTTTTAAAAACTCCGACGACAACAAGGCATTAAAGCTCTTTTTTTGTCAATAAGATACTTTTCACAAAACTCCGGAGAGAAATTTTGTTTTAAACCTCTTACCTCCCAAAATTATTAAATTTGTGCCCACAACTATCAAAACAAATTCATCCTCTCCCTCTCCCCGAAATTCATCCCCTCCCTCTCCCCCTCCTCTTCCTCATCGTCGTCATCGTCCTCCTCCTCCTCCTCCTCTCCCATCCCTCTCCCCACCCGTAGAAAACCAGGTACACCTGGGTGAAGATGGCGCCGCTGAGCCCAACGCGATCCCTCGACTCTCAGGGAAGTTCTTGACGCAGGTGACCAGGGCTCCGGTGTTGGAGAACGACTGGGAGTTGGCCCCGATGCAGATGTAGACGTACATCTGACAGACGACGGGGCGAGATATGTGGCCGGTGATGGCGAGGTAGATCATGAGGTAGCCGAAGAGGTTCATGGCGGAGCCGATCGAGAGAACGACTCAGAGAGGGGTGACCTCGTTGATGAGGCCTGAGAGGACGCCCACGTTGCCGCCGAGGTCCTTGAAGAAGCTGAGGGTGTTGAAGGTTTGCTGGTTGTAGTGGAGGGAGGACTTTATGTCCTTGGAGTAGATGCTGAAGATGTAGGTGGCGCCGGATGCCGACAATATGAACAAGCAAACGAAGATGATAATCATATTTTATTATAATCTTATACCATCATTATCTATTTTATATGAATAAATATGCTATTAATAATTGTTTTTATCTTTAATTGCAGGTTAATGAAGAATAAAGCACAGGATCTCTTCTCTCAACAAAAACTCATGAATTAAATAAAGAACACAAGCAAGAGCCAAAAAGCCCAAGCCTAGAATCAAGCCGAGTAGCATGTAGAAGCAGGAGAAAATAAAAAAAATCAAATATGAAAAAAATGTATTCAAGATAGTTGGCCGCAAAGAAACGATGATATCTCTCAATCCGGAAGGCGGAATTTAACATATAATATATGAAAATCGCCTATCTCGACGAGACGAAGCCATCCGTGAAGACAAAAATTTTATAGGACATTGATGCTAGCATCGATGCGGGCATCAATGCCGGCATCGATGCCAACATCTATACTGACAGTTCTGTTACGAATTAAGGGCTGATTTTTGATGGTTTTGGATAAGATTTCAATCCAATGGCTCATATTCATTATGTTTACTATAAATAGGGGTAGAGAGTGAGGGTTGAGGGTGTGGAAAATTTTATAACTCTATTTGGAGAGGAGGGTTATTCTTAATTGAGAAGACCTTCCAAATTTGTAAATTTTGTTACAATTAATAAAAGAAATTTTCTCCACTTTAAATTTTTTTTTCTTCTCTTTGTTGGATGATGAAGATGGAGATGAAGAGCAATTTAAAGGTTTGTTTTTTCTTTATTTCTCTCTTTTATTTCTTTTTAGTAATTTCTTTATTATTGCTTATTAGTTAGATTTATATTCATACTTGTAGTATAGATTTATTTTCTTATCTTTTTATTTCTTTTTTACTTTAATTTGTAGAGTAGATTTATTTTCTTGCATTTAATTTTTATAATTTATTTTGTAGTTTAGATTTTAATTATTTGTAGTTAGATTTATTTCTTGTTCATAGTTTAGATTTTTCTTTTCTTTTTATTTTTGTAATTAGTTCTTTTTTTTCTTGCTTTTATTTCTTAAGATGTGAAATTAATTATTATAGTAATCTTAGAATTGTATTAAAGTAGTCTAATTTTCTTTATATTGTATGAATTGTTCTCTTACACTTAAAATGATCATGTTTAGGATAATCAACTAGAGAACTAATTGATAGAAGAAGAATTTGATAATCTATAATTATCTTAAATGGTTTGATAGGTTATACTTATGAATTCTAGGATTATTATCTTGTTGTTGTTCTTATCATGATTTTTAT